AACCCTGCTGAATCCCAATTGCTCAGTCACAAAGAAGCTTCCATAAAGTGGGATTAGAGGTCTATGTAGCTGCAGATGTCATGTAAAACAATTTCTCAGCTAAGACAGGCCCGAAAGCCTTTGCCTGGAAGTGCATGGGTGTGAACCTCAGGCTTAAAGCAGGTGTGCCTAACTGACAGCTGCATGGCAGACACAGACTGAAAGCTGCACCAGCAGTTAGAAAGCCACACATGTATGACTGGGAAATGACGATAATGGATGTATTAGCAAAACGTAAATATCTACAGCAACTAGCCTATCTGACAGCAACCAGACAGACTTTAGAGCCATGCTGTGCGTGCCGCTTGTTAAGTCATTTAATCAACTTTAATGTGTTCCCATATCATTTCTACCCACTTGGAAGAGATCTCCCCCCTCCCCTCCCCTTGCCGCCGCTCTCCCCTCCCCTGTCCGGTTGCCAAAATCAGCTCAGCTATGTTAATACTTGCAGCAGTTAGCATGGAGCCAAAGGGCACCGAGGCAGAACTGGTGGCATGAAAACCTCCCTTTGTGACAGAAGAACTATCCTGATCCTGTTGCAAAGGGCAAACTCAGAACAAACCATTGCAGAAGCTAATCAAAGAGTTGAAAAGTTCAACAAATGGGATTTCCATTTATCCCTCCCGCCCTGTTCTTACATGCTGCAGTTAAGTCATCTAATTATCCATTCTGGTTCTGCTGAAACAGCAGAGGGTCGAGAAAGGAAATATACTTCCATGTGGAATTTTCCCAGTTTTTTCTCCCCCTTCAATGTCTGCCCGGACAAACATCTTTGCACTGAAACAGGGAGCAACTTTCACCGTGAAAGAAAGATGTCAAAGCACTAAGTTTCCTATTCTTCACAGAACTGGAAAACCCCAAGATGGAGAATATCTGTCCAATCCAGTACAATCTGATTATGAACATCTGGATGTTAAAATAACTTCTAGTTGCTATTTTTACATAAGCCTGCACCAGGTGGAGACATTCATGAGGAGGATGGGCGATACTTTTGTACTATTCTGCATATAAAGTATTTGCATTACAGTGGGCAAGTGTCCTGCTTCACAGAGCACAGTCTTCTGTTTGAAGGCATTCTCTGTTTGGAACGCTGTTGACAGAAGTCACCCATCAAAATAGCTCTAAGCAGCAGGCTAAGCGAATACAACAACTGCCCCAGTCAGTCTCTCTCTCCATTAGGAGATGTATTCCTATTTAAACTAAATTATAGCAATTTCTAAATTTTCATCTATGCATATAAATTAGCATATGCAGATTTTATGACCCCTTTTGAGGGGGGTTAATGCATTTCCTCTCTCTTTAGCAATGCATAAATAGGCAGCCTAATTTGTGTGAATACTACAAAGTACATTCCCCTGCCCTCTCTCTCCCCACCAGGGAGGAGCATGTTCAATAAAAGTTGTATAAGAATATACCAATATTCAACTTTTCCCTGATTTCTACAAAATTTCTATTGATTTCTATTGTGGATAGGGGCAACTAGGGGAAGTATGACCATATGTGAATATGGTGGGGAATCTGTGACGTTCTAGATGATATTGGAGTTCAGCTCCAGTCAGCATGGTGAATGGTCAGGGATGATGGGATTTGTAGTCCATAACATCTGGAGGGCACCATGCTCACATTTACCACATTAAAGCAGAAACCTTTCCCAGTGCTTTGATGGTCTTCAGCTAAGTTTTATGCAGAGTAGACCCACTGAAATTAATTTCATGTTCACTAATTTCAATGAGTGGTATTCAAAATTTAATTGCATACCACCTCTTACTCCCAATATTCTTCAACTAGAAGTGCAAGGGTAAACACTTTAAACAGACTGAAATCATATTGTACTTTTGGAAGACAATATTTTATTTTATTTTGCAAAATTGAATAAATAGCTAGAGACTATATTTCTGTAAATTCATTGTTGTTCATTCCTCTTATTCTTGCTATTAAATTCCTAGAGCTTAGTCATTCTTTACCATATGGTAATACTAAAGCTTTCCACTTTGGGGGTAGCAACATCCTTGCTGCTATGATCATATAAAATGAGAAGTTTTACATGTTTCTTTTTTTTACTTAAAATAAATAATAACAAAAAGGGATTTAATGGTACTGTATATTATATTGTAATGTTCTTAAAATTTGTTCAACAATCATTTTCCAGTATCTCTGACTATGCCAGCACCACCACTACATATGGAAATATGTTCCAGACTCTCTCTTACACCTTTCAGCAAAGTTTAGACCAGTCCTTACTTACGACTAGAGTTGGAAACCATCTACACATAACTTCAAAACAGTTTTCTCTTATGTTTGCATTTAATGAGAATTTATGGGCCTTTCTCCAAAGCGTTCCCCAAGTTTCCATCAGAATATAATATCCAATCTCTTGTTGCTGTTTTATCGGGCATTCTTTTAACTTGTTCTGGTTCTCAGTCACGTTACAACACCAGGCGATAAATTTTGGATAGTGTCTGTATTTCTAATTTTAAATATGTAAGCCACCCTTGGAAGAATACTCGGGAAGGTGGCATATAAATGTTTTAAAATAAAACAGTCCCAACAGGGAGTACTGCCCTCTGATGAGATAAAAGACTCTGTCTCAATGCCAGCGGCCACCTTTTGTACACTGAATAGAGGCGGTGCCATCTTGCCCTTCGCCTCAGGCAGAACAAAGTCTAGGGTCCGCCCCAGTTGCCTGGCATTATCAACTTTATATTTACAGCTCCAGGAGATTCCAGGTTCAATAGTTCAGGGTACATCTGATGCCATGAGAGATACCATCCACAGATACGTGAGTAAGTATCTGTAGTTTCCCCCCACAACATCAAAATTTATCTTTGTTTCAATGCCAAGGGTATGAATTAACCAAAAGCAAATTCAGCTGCTCTCATTCTAAAGCATTTCTCTCTAAAGAAGTTGACTTGGCTTTGTTATCTTAAAATGCTGTCAATACAAACAGAAAAAAATAAAAAGTAACACCACCACATTCTGCCTATGGGTATCCTCTTCCAATGGTAATAATATACAGTGGTACCTCAGGTTACATATGCTTCAGGTTACATACGCTTCAGGTTACAGACTCCGCTAACCCAGAAATAGTACCTCGGGTTAAGAACTTTGCTTCAGGATGAGAACAGAAATCGTGCTCCAGCGGCGTGGCGGAAGCAGGAGGCCCCATTAGCTAAAGTGGTGCTTCAGGTTAAGAACAGTTTCAGGTTAAGAACGGACCTCCGGAACGAATTAAGTACTTAACCCAAGATACCACTGTACAACAATCTTTTGTTGTATATTATTGTATATTATTTGCCCCCAACATTTCTCCTTCAATCCTTTTGTGTATGGGAACTACTCAAACAAAAAGACAGCACTGGCCTAGTAAAAACTTAATGGTGACTGCCTGGAAACCACATCCATGAAAATCAGTAGCCGATCCCATCCCCACTTCTCCCTCCTTTCCATTGTTTACTTTAATGATATCAGTGTCTCACTGACCTGTAGCTAGGACTCTTATGAACATTATATGTACCTTTGTTATCTATGAAAATCTTTCAATAAAATCAATCAGAAAAAAACACAACGGTTTAGCACTGCACCTACAATGATGCGAGTACAAATAAACAAATCCCTCCTTGGCCTTCCATTGCCTTTGGTATTTATTTCTTTGCATTGGCATGGATGTGGGCCACTTTAAATGCTTGCCCGTTTAAAGCCCACTTAAGCCCACTTCAAATCCTTGTTGGAAAGCAAGGATTTATTTATTAAATTTATATACCGCAGGGGCTTTTTTCAGTCACAACTCAGTTCCAGAACCTCTCAGGTGGGCGCCATTGCCATTCTAAGAGAACAAGTGTGAGAAACAGCACCTCTTTTTCTAGAAAAATAGCACTGCATACCACCCTTCACCTGACAATCACAGGGCAATTTACAGTATAAAAACACAAAAATACATAACTTGGGGGATGGGGAAGGATTTGCAACCGAAGACAGCAGGGAGCACTGACTGCAAGTCCTGGTTTGTAGTGTGCGCGCGCTGGGTCACTGACTCAATGTGACCGAAGAAGAAGAGAAAACAATACAAACATAAATATTATCTAAGACAGCAAGCAAATATAACACTTTTAACACTTTATGAAATCACTTATCCCTGTCAGTTACTTTCATTTAGATCACTGTCATTAGCCTGGCTCACAGAAAATGCTGAGCCATAGTTTGTTTATCTAATGCGTGCTTTGTTCAAACTCAGCCCGATTTTTTGCTACACATGTAAACCTGAATGCGCACAAGTTAAATGTGCATAAATTGTGGGCTTACTGTACACAGTAGGGTTAAAAATGTGAGCATTTAATGCAGTCAAATATAGCAACCCCTGAAGGTGTATTTATTCCAAGCATAGCCTTTACCCAGGTGCAATTTTAACACACAGCATATTTTATTTGTTATATATTTTCCAACCAAGAGAAGAAGCTAGACAAAGTGCATTTGCTTTAGATAGTCGCTGGGCTGTTTCAACGGTTTAGAATGAGCATTCTCGTTGTGATGTTTCAATTACATTTATGATCCTGATTTTTATGATATTCATCAAATTGTATTTACATAACGATAGGACATTTTTGCACTTTTTTCTGTTTTAAAGCACATAATTTGTGGCACTGTTGATGTATAATGTGATAGCTAGGGAATAAATGTTTAAAAATTTAACGATGGGTTATTACAAAGGAAGCTTCCTTGTACACAGTCAGATCACTGGTCCATCTTGCTCAGTATTGTCTACACCCGCCTTTCTCAATCTTGATTCCTCAGATGTTGTTGGACTACAACTCCCATCATCCTTGACTGCTGGTCCTGCTAGCTAGGGCTGATGAAAGTCATAGTCCAACAACACCTGGGGAACCAGTGTTGAGAAAGGATGGTCTACACTGATTCACAGCGATTTTTCAGGGTTTCAGGCAGGAGTCGCTCTCTCCTAGCCCAGCTGGAGATGCCAGGGACTGAACCTGCGACCTTCCGCATGCAAGTCAAGTGCTCTGCCACTGAGCTATGGCTCTTCCCTTACCACTGAGCTACTTGTAACTCATTATTTATGCAAGGAGCTCAAGTGTTCATTTTCTCATTTTATCCTCAAAAGAACCTGTGAGAAAGACCAAACTCTTGCTGGCTCAAATAAATTAATGACTGGCCAGATTTTTAAAAAACCCCAGATCTCCCCAGTTCAGCTTTTTAAAATTGAGAAGCAGGATATAAATACAGTCAAGATTATTCCCAAATCCAATGTTAAATTCTAACCATACCATGCAGGCCAGCTTAGCATGGATGCTTTTCTCTATACAGAGGTACCTCGAGTTACAGACGCTTCAGGTTACATACTCCGCTAACCCAGAAATAGTACCTCGGGTTAAGAAATTTGCTTCAGGATGAGAACAGAAATTGCACGGCGGCAACAGGAGTCCCCATTAGCTAAAGTGGTACTTCAGGTTAGGAACAGTTTCAGGTTAAGAACGGACCTCCAGAACGAATTAAGTTCTTAACCAGAGGTACCACTGTACTGCATAAACTCCCAACAGCTTTGACTTCCTAGCTGCCAACACATTACACAGAAAATTTTACTTGAAATTTAAAAGCCTTAAAGAAGGAGCTTGTTTTGCAACAAAACCCCATTCAGTCAGCTCCCTAATTGGCTGCCTATATCTGCTACCGGCCGAAGATTTCGGAAACAAAAATCTACTGAAAGCTTTTGTGTCCCAACACAATCCAACACGAAAGACAGGTTCCAATTTGGAATCCACCCCCAACCTTCTAAATAATGTGCTTTTCTTCTGACAAACATCAGAAAGAGAGAAAGCCACTTCTACTTTAAATTCACTGCAGACTCTCGGAAGGCCAAGCTTGTTACCAGAAAAAGATTGTCAGGATTAATGAGAACTTTTAATGAACTGGATACGGGATTAGGCCTTGGTACGAACCAGTGCCAGATCAATACTTGCTTAGATTTGTTCACATGCAGTTATCAAGGAGCCAGGAAGTAGTTCAGAAACTTAGCACACGAGAAGTAGCTTACGTAGCCTCTCATGCTTACATTTCAGGGAAGCTACAATTACTTGAGAGCTGTACCTCTATTTTGGCCCTTTCACGATTCAACCATTTCTTACTGTGGGCAGGGGAGACCTTGCCCATGGAAAGAAGCAGCAGCCAGACGTCAGATGTTCTATGAAACATGTACACGATGTCAGGGTGTGTCTATTTTACCTTTTAAAACATTACAAGGCGGCCGAGTGGTTTGCATTCTTGCTCTCGCTTTTATTCACATCTGCTCGCCAGTCTACAGTGCTACCCTGACTCCCATGAACGCTGAAAGAACTGCAAGAGGACATAACAGTCAAGGGGTCTTCTGGCAGGCATTTCAGGAAGGCTATCTCTTCATTTTGTTGAAGTGTGTGAGAGGTTTATTTCTTAAGTTAAAGTAAGTTTTAAACTAGCAGCACAAGTCCAAGTGCATGAGCTTCCATTTTCTCTCCTCTCTCCAAATCGTTTTCCTTTCGTGCCACGTCTTTCAGCTTTTAAGTATGAGCTCAGGGATTGTCCTATTATTATTCGTAAGCTGCTGTGGGAGCCTTTTTTCAGCCAGAGGTTGAAATAAAAATGGTTTTAGTAATAAACGACTCCATGCATCTGAAGTTATAGTGTTTATATGCGTATATGAGCTCATTAAAAGTAATTCATCATGACTTTTTGTCCTTCGACAACTAAACTAGGACAGTTTCATATATGCAAGTCCTGCTTACTGAACAGAATGTGTTCCCTGGAAATGGTTCGTTAGTTGAGCGTTTGCATAACGAGTCCACATTTTCCACAGATTCCTTTGGGAACATTTCTAATCCATTATTTCTCTCCCCTCCTTCCGCCATGGTTTCTTCCTAAAATGGCTGCAGTCAACTAGCAAAAGTGAGACGAAGGGGAAACTGCTTTGTCCGATCTCTGCTGCTCTCTGATTTCTCTCTCCCCTCCCTCTCTCCACGGTTTCTGACTGAAAATGACTGCTGCCGACCAGCAAACCGCAAGAAGTATGGAAGTGAGCAAACCCCAGATGTTTGGCTATCTAAATCACCTGTGCATGCAGCGGCGTTTGGGCATAATACGTTGTGAATCTGCAGATAACAACTGTACTGACAGCAAAACCTCTGTGTAGTATGAATGTGTTTTATTTTTATGTTCATTTTTTCACATGCGACAAAACCATGTAATTTCCAGCAAATATAAATGTGGGATTTGTGGCCAACTGTGCAGGGCACATGGTGGAGCACTCAGAGAATCATAGAACTCAAAGTTCACAGAGTCAAACACCTATTCCTACCCCACTACACAGTAAAACTAAACGTCCTTTCCATTACGTGGGGATTTGGTCTATCAAGTAGATCACAGAATTGTAGAGTTGGACCCCAAGAGTCATCTAGTCCAAACCCCCTACAATGCAAGGATCTCAACTAAAGCATCTATGACAGATGGCCATCCCACCTCTGCTTAAAACCCCCCAAGGAGAGTTCACTCCAAGATCCCAGGGGGTAACCTCTTCCCTGCCGTCCAACATGAATTGTCCAGTCAACCCCTGCCTAATTCATCCCCTGCCCCACACCTGCAGCCACGTTCCCTCCCTCTTCCTTTGTGCATGTGTGGATGCAGATGAGGTTGCCAGTGCCTCACCATCTCATGTGGCCTCTCAAGGCCAAAGAAGTTGCTGACCTCTGAAACACAACGTTTAGAGGGGGATTTAGTTGCAATTGCTTTCGTTTTTATGAAACATCTGGGACAGGCCTACTGTCAGTTGAATTGACACGACATATGAACAGAGCGCCATTTCCTATGGCATTCTTTCATTATGGCAAGGAAGACGGAAAGAATGGCAGTACAGAGAGTTGTGTTTCCATGATGCATGACATGTTGTCTGTTTCCTACCAACTGGTAACAAAACAGGAGCATGCAAGGTCTGTTGCACCAACTGCATGTCCGGAACAGCTCCCTGCCAGCCAAATGAACCAACTAGGACTAGTGAAGAAAGGCTGGGGCAGTTCAATTGGTCCCCAGAAATGAAGCCATCTGGGCATGGGACCAATCCTAGTCAAGTCTTTCTGACCACCGATTAATGTTTGCAAAAGAAGAAAACCGTTAAAAGGGCTACAATCTCCTCCTCTCCAACTTCTGATGCAAGATAATGTTATCCATTGTTTATGAGGCTTTCATTAGGTTATCTGAGGAAGGATCAGAGAAATCAGACTTTAATTCTGTTAATAAACTCTAGCTGGACATCCTTCCCATTCAAATGAGGAGTGACACTGTTTTACTAGTGTACAAACTTTGCACGCAAAAGCTATAGGGCTGTAGAAAAAAAGAAATGCAGCAAGTTAGATGCGGCTCTCAACCACAGCAAAGGACAATGTGTTAAGTCCTAGACAGTCGCAGTGAAAACTCCGTGGCATAAAAACAGGAAGCATTAGAGCTACAGAGGAACATGTGTGCACGCATAAAGCACAGCTTTAGGTTTAGATAGAAGTTTTGATTTAGAAAGCAGAAGCACACCACTTCTTTATGCAATTGTCAGCAACGGATGGGTCTGGACAGAAGCTACTTTGACTGATAGTTAGTGGGCAACTTCGCACATGAGAAACCAATAATTCCTTTATATGCATTCTCTTCTGAATTGGTAACCCAAGAGCCAAATGGAAACCCCAAGGGATTACATTTAACTACGAGTTCAGGGTGGGCAGATGTCCTATTTTACAGAGGACAGGCCTCTGATTTGAAAGTATAAGTTCAGGTTCAAATAAGAAGTGAAATCCTTGAAGTTGCCCCATCAATAGCACTGGACAGCACAATGAGCTGGCACACAAGTCATCTGGTCACAACATTCCCCTCTATAGTGAGATGTATTGCATTTCTATTTAAATTATGGTAACTATTATGGTAACTGTTTTAAAATTTGCATTTATGCATATGTACATTTTCTACAAATAAGAGCTCTCTTTTTAGAGGATGTGCTTCCTCTTTTTCACCAGTGTGGCCTCCCTATATGAGTTCGTGACCATTAGGCCAGTCTATTAACCAAGTACTATCCACTCTGGTACCATTTTCAGTGGAGAAATGCTGTGCATTTCCCTTTACTACCACCAACACCACTCATCCTTTGAACCTGCCTTTTATTATTCCACCACAGCCACAGCAGTAACTGGCACTGAAACAGATACAAATTATTTCACTCCTGGCTTTGCAAAATAAAAAAAGGAAGCCTTTCCTGCACATTGCAAAAAAGCAACAAGGAAGTAACAAGCTTTTTGCACATGGTGCATTTTTTTTATGTGAAAGAGGACAAAGTGCAATGCATAAAGGTAACACCCTGTACAAATGTCATTGATCTTATTTACTGCCCGATAAGATATTTGAGGTGGTGACCGAGACATTGTATGTGCTAAGCAGCTCAGATTGTGGAAGTTGCACCTGCACAGTGCACTATGACCCTGCTGCCTCAGCACTTTGGCAGGCTATTTACAGTGAACCACGACCACAGCCTGCGGTTATTGGAACAGCAGTCAGTGGTACACCCAAATCAGGGCTCCAATACACAAACAGGTTATCTAAACAGTCAAGATCTCTGCAGTCATATTGGCCCTGCAAACGTAGAAGATTGCTGGTGATAAAATACTGCCCAATCTCATAGCCACTACTTGCAGGCTGGGAGCATCTCATGAAATTATTCAGTGGAGTTCTCTTGAGCAGATTCTGCCAGCCCTAATAACTTGGTGGAACTTCAATGCACCAAAGCTGGTAGACTCCTACCCCCTTCTCTTCTCAGGCTTGCAGGGTTTTTCCTCCTTACCTTTGCGGATTCCCCTCTACCTTTCATTTTCTGAGCCAAGCTCAGTTAGCATAATGTTTTTGTTACAGCATTTCTGCCATTGTTAACTGAAACCAAAGTTTGCAAGTCCACTTATAACCATGGTTGCAAGCTAGGATTTGGAGCTGAACCATAGCTAGCAAAAATAGCATGGCTTTATAA